GTCATCTCTACAGGCTACCGTCTCAATTACTGAATAAACTCACTAGTCAGATTTATTTATTGCCAACTATAAAGGTAGTTTTCTCATTAAATAAAGAAAAATAAATCAACATAGATTTGTGAAACGACAAAGATCATTTGAAATATGTGTTGTATTAGAGCTTTACATTTTGAACGATTTGATTACACATAGGAGTGTCGAATTATTTGTATATGTACAAACTTAACTAGATAACAAATCATCTTAGAAAAATAAATTGTTTTTCAGTAGTTGCTTGGATGACATTCATAGTGACTTGAAATCAGAATATATTACATAATGCCATTTCAACGCTTTCTGTTAACATGATCTAGTCATTTAACTGAATGCCTTATTTCTGTGATGGTTTATTGATCCGAATGTATGAACCCACCTAATCTTTTCGAGGTTTATAATCCCTTCATTTATCCAAATAATACATTCTTTGTAACTTTCAATGGAGTCTAACAAGTTTCTTTCATTTTTCTTCACAACTCTTAAAAAAGCTCCGTCTTATCATGTAAACTGTAAGGCAGACTACAATTTTATAAAAATCAGATGACTTGTTATCTGTGTTCTGTGTTAGTGCATGTCCATCTGTTTATCGTTTAATGCCATTTGAGAAGAGTAACATTGTTATTTAATTGCTGTTTATTGATATACTTGTAATTTTTCGTTATTTTATTGGGTCAAATTTTTCGAAATCTATTGGCATATGTGCTCTTATACGGATGGCTCGATAGAGGTCGAACAATTCGATCTAATAAAATGACGGAGAATTACTAATATTCGTTGTACAAGAAGCGGTTATCGTTCCTCCGTGGCTTAGTGGGAAACTCCTCGGCGTTTGAAGCGATGGGTATAAGATCCGGGTCTCAGTGGGAACGACATCACTAACTGGAGTGCTGGTCATCAAGCTGACGAGCCTCAGATAGGACGAAACGCACGTTCTGGATTCTTCTGCTAGCTACAACCAAGCAAACCACTATAATCAATGTTCTTTAGTGTTGTTTTCGAATTTTCTTCTTACATACTTCGTCTTATTATCCATCATCAGGGCTACAGGATACTTCTTGGACTGCTTAGAGAAGCATTAATTTACTGTAGTTTTGTCGTCTGTCATGTTAATAATGCAGTAAAGGTGAAGAACTTCCTCTTTGGTGCTTACGATCTCTACAAGGTTATATCATACCATTCATAAATATCTGGAGTAGGTTATTCCTTTTGGTATTCTCCACAAATTTTATAATAAATGTGTTCCCATTTACCTACTCCAAATCTACTTGTTTTAAGTTGATTAGATAAGCCTACCATACACAGAAAGATAAAATCTTAGAAACAAATAATTAGTTTTTTCGCTACTTTTAGTCTGTTTCTTTGAGAGATTGCTTTTATGAAACAGAAAAAGGACAGTGATGCGTGCATTTAAAGTTTATCTTAATCCAATTCATTGTTTACTTAACTGTTTTTCGTTTACGTAAAAATCTTGGTAAAAATAGTACGATAAGACACTGGAAGTAAACTTTTTTGCTTTCTTATCTCTTTTTGCTTTATACCTCTTCGAAATTTTACATTTTCATTATTTTTCGTTGAAAACAAATGTGAAATTTGCACCATATTTTACCACCAGTATGAATGACACACAATTACCACCTTCGAAGGATCATGTACGTGTTAGGTGTAGTTCATTTTGTCAGTAGTCCGCAATATGAACATAAAGCTTTATATTTATGCATAGTATGTTGCACAATATTTTCTGAGAAATGTTTATTTTAATCTCGTCTGAATGCATCATATACTCCCGGACGTTTTTTAAAATGTTTTCGAACTTTCGTTTTCCAAGCTGAAAAAAAACGTTCCGCCTATCGGAAATGGATTTGTAAGTGCTCAAGAATATAGCACATAACTATTCCTAGACGACTTGTACGAGATTGTAAATTTCTGCTCTGACTAACTGAACTATCACCATCAAAATTACACTCGATTTTATGTTCATTTCTGATTCAAGACCAGATGCTCATGTAACACCATTTGCCCGTCTCGCATTTTTACCTTTAATACTGGTATTAGTAACACTATACGGATGTAATAATTATTTCTTTTAAAAATATTATATGGAAAGCAAATTTGTTGAAATACTTCACGCTGAAAATTCCATACTGTATCATAAATGTTGTTTGGAAGAAAGCCATTATTATTATTATTATGTTGGCTGGAAGTCCTGATTCTTTTAAATCTTACCATACCTTAATAATCAGCTGGAGATTGTTGATGAAAGAGCAGCTCACCTCAGGTGCAAAGTTGGTTTTGACTTGCCATTAAGCCACTTACTCGTCTCCGAGGATAATCAACAAATCTTCTATTCAAAAAGTGAGGTATTAGGTGTCTACTGTGAATACAGTGACATGCAATTCACGCTTCACTGAAAAGCTTTTTTTTTACAGTAAAAGGCCGACTTGAAGAAATTCACATCAAAAATTTCCGCAAAAGCCAAATGTAAATAGTTCAGGAGGTATTTATTGAAGTCGTCAAAATCTCCAATAATTACCCAGTTTCTCTTTTGCTTATCTAAAAAAGAATTAGTCTTTCAGGATGCGAGTAGTTAAGAAGCATCAATCATTGGTTGATTTCTGTTTGTGTTGTATCTGTATTCCTTATTGCGTCCGTGTTAAACTGGAAGTCAGACATATGAGAAACATTCTAAAGTTTTCTATCTGTATGTGTTCCGTCGTTGTTTGTATTTGCTCAGCAGCCAGTGAAGAGAGAAAGCCTATAACATTTTCAAGAGATATATAAATATAGAAGTAGTATTCATCATGGACTGACATCAGTTGAAGAACCATTGAGAATCTGTGAGCACTGGACAGGTGTTGCGTCCTAGTATGGGATTCCTCAGCAGTGCGCACCCACGATCCGGTTAGGAATCGAACTTAGGACCTTCAGGTTTCACTGCGAACGCGCTAACCGTTCAGCCACTGGGTCTACATTCAAAGGGTGTTTTCTCAATTGGAAATAAGATGAATTGTTTAATTTACTTCCGTATTAATTCATCAGTAGCATTGTATTGCTGTCAGTAGGCAGTTATGGTCATTGTAAGGTTGAGACTACTTGTACGTCTTCAATATATTATCTTATCATGTCATTATCATCATGTTGTTGGTCACCAAACTAAAAATATTAACAATAGTTTGTATTTGTATAAGTCACAGTGTGCTTGAAATAAAACAATTCCAACTTTTCGCACGGAAATCTGGTTCCAGCTTCTTCAAACATATATATAAATGAATCCAAAGACATGCATTTAATCTTCTTGTCCAGTCCTTTTCGTATAATCATTGTCTTACTAAAATATGGTTACTAAATATGTACAGATTACTTCTTAGAGAAGTATTAATTTACCGTAGTTTTGTCGTTTGTCATGTTAATAGTGCAGTAAAGGCGAAAAACTTCCTCTTTGGTGCTTATGATCTCTACAAGGTTACATTATATCATTCACAAATATCTGCAGAAGGCTGTCCCTTTTGGTATTCTCAACAATATATATATATATATATATATATATATATATATATATATATAAGTTTAATGTATAGACAACAAAATCATCTTTAATGTTGCGTCTTTTATCCAGAAGAAAAACCATAAAATGGCTTACGCTGTCAGTTTGCCAAAATTACTTGTATTCTTCCTATAAAAAAAATTTAGAATTTGGCTGATTTGTGAATATTCTCACTTTCCCAGGGTTTAGCCATATCAGTTTTAGTTTTTCTAATTTCTTCGCTACTTAATACTGAATTCGTCATTATGTTCATTTTTCCAATCCAGTTTACATCAGGATCGATATCCTATTGGCTATATATGTGGTTATTTTGTGTCATGGTCATACATCTTATGGATGTATGTCTAATTAGATTGAAATTGGACACTTGAATCTTACTTTGTATGCTTAGATATCTGATGGGTTATACATGAGACTGCAAGTATCTGTTACTTGTCTCTTGTATAGAGACTATTCTTAAAGTTTACAACGTTTCAATTATCATGTAATTGAAATGAGTTTTGCTTGTCCTTGTGGCAACTTGGACAGTTATGTAGTTGTTATAATCCCGTGTTGTCAAACGCTATAGTCTTGTTGTTACTTGTTATATTCTTGTAGTGACTTGATATAGCCCAAGTTATATACACTTGAACAATAACTTTTAGACACCGAACCCCGTTGGCCGCCCAGTTTCTCAATAACTGAAAAAGGCGGTTATATATATACATACTAGCATCCCTCCAACCAATCTGATATATGCATATTGGTTCATGTATTTCTTCTGGAAACTTCAGTACAACATGACTGGTTGCAGAAAGCATCAGGCATTTACAGCTTTTTAATGAAGATTATAGCAATCTTATTCTATATTATAACAGGTGTAATATCAGATCATATATTATGCCGACCTAACAGATGATTGGCTGTTAGAACAGAAGTCCAATTTGTATCTTTCGATACTGATGCTTCTTTAAATTTTCAGGATACTTTATTTTATAATAATTCAGATTAGATAGTGGAAAATGTGTTTTTTTTGCGTAAAGTTCCTAGGAACTGACTTTTTCATACTCATGGCTTGTACTCGATCGCAACAAGTCGAATATATTCACTCTTTATGATTTTTGGGACTTTAGGCCTTTTTCTCTGTATGTCAGTGACTTTTTCTTCCTTTATCATGCTTTTGTTGTCGATCTAAATATCTTTCTGATGTTTTCATCTTGACGCTGTTGTTAACTATGAATTCCTAGACAAAGTAAAATATCTTCATGATTTTATGTTGTACTGGTTGTATTCCAGTGAGAGTTGTTTTTTGCTATTTGTCGTTGGTCTGAGTACTTTTGCGGTATAAAACCAGGGGAATATCTGTCAACTTTTACATGCTAAATTTTTTTGTATAACTTGTATTTCCTAACTTCTTCTTTTTATTCTTTAATTTCCATATTAGCTGAATCGCTTGTACGACCTCGAGTTGATCGTACTGCTAGTCCACCATCTGCTGCAGTTTATTGGTCTGAAGCTAGGCGACTAGCTTCATATCCGAATGCTCGTTTGCCTGATTCTAACAGTCTACCAGCTATTGAACGATACGATTTCCCTGCTCCACCGTCACCAGCTGTTGTCATGATTGATAAACGTAAGTTTTGGTATAGGTTTTAATCAGCACTTAACAATAAATAGGTAAATTGGTTACCCTCTTATCAGTAATCTATGTACATTATCCGATTCTATAGTTGGTCAGCTACTGTTTATAATGGTGTTCAGCAAATTTTTTGATTTTCATTATTCAGTGATGCAAATGTAATTCTTCTTAAGAAGTCCAGTTTCTTCTATTGTTGATTAGTTGCAATAATCGTGAAAACTCAGTGGAACTGAGCTTCTTATCAACTAAGTTATAATAAGTTTAACATCGAATATAGTTTTATTTTATTTGTTTATAGTAATACCTTTACAAGCAGGTCAACTTCTTTAAATAAATTTTTGATAGAGTATTCTATGCTCTACTTACACTACAGTTATAGTGTACATGTATTATGATCAATAATTTTATTTTCTTTTGTAAATTGTAAAGGTCGTGAAAAACGTATGACAGGTGTACAATCCATTGGTTTAGATAGTCGAGATGGTACACTAAGAAATAGTACAATGACATCAACTGATACTGATTGGACTGATCGTGATCCTGCTATGAATGCTAAATTGGATCGTATTGATGCTGAGATTGAAACATTGAAACGATTAGGTGAAAGCTCCGGTATCACTGCAGTAAGCATTTATCTCTTTAATAAATTATTAGTTTGTATATTCTGTCGAAATGTGTTTTAATATGCCGAAGTCACAACAAATTTGTATATAGTAACTGTAGAGTAATTGTGAAATCATTGTTAATTTTTTCTCAGACACTATCCTTTAGAGAAAAAAGGAACATGAGTATTTTCTTTATGTTGAATCACTTTTAAGTGTATAATAAATTTTTTCAATCCTTCCTACGTTTTTAGTTGAACAAGTTTAACTGTGTTTTAAAACAATGGTTGTCTATAAGCATAGAAATGTTTTGATTCATGTTAAAGCTATCGCTAACTACACTGATTTTATCGTGGTTTCATGTACCAAGTGAAACAAACACCTTTGATTAGCTCCATTTATTATTTTTCTTAATTTTTGTTGAAAGTTTTCTAAATGATTTAACTTGTTCACCCCTCTGGAGGACATTCAAATTGAGCAGGGTATATCACCTCATGCCTTGTTGAAGTTTTTGATACATATCACTCATTTACCAAATGAGAGCTCTTGTCATTAAGTTAGTTTATTCATGGCTAATCTTCTAATGAACAAGAATATGTACATGTATTGGTTACTGAATGGTTAATGGTTTACCTATCAGTGCTCAGGGATGATCAAAGTCTTTAGATCAAGTTTGTTATACTACCTCCATGCTTAATGATGCGATACATTCATGCACTTCACTTCACTGGTTGATAACTCTTATGTATCATTCGAAGAGAACTCCTTTTGCCTCAAGGTTTCATGTTTGTTGTCATTCATCAGCAAGGTTTGTCTACATCTGTGAAAAAAATGAACTCCTCTCATGGGTATAAAGGCTTTTTTGTAGCATCATAGACTGCATCACTAACATACTCACATATCTGCAGACTTTGGTTACTGATTTTCAGTTTAAACTGATAAACACTCCATACATTTAACAATATCACTTACTTCCAGCGAATGATGTTCTTTATCAACCAACAGAATTAATTTGAAACAACTGCCATTATCTGTTCTTTAGGAAATGAGCGTTTTCATTAAGATCTATTTTAAGCCGAGGCTGTATGTTAATGCATACATTGCAATAGTCGAGTTTTTTTTTCTAGATTATTGATCTTATTCGGGTATATCATTCTACATTTAGCTAAACTCCTGTCTTCCGCCTATCTAACTGACCCACCCACCTGCTGTCTAGTTTGACCTATCCACTTGACCTCGCAGTCATTACATGGAATTTGATAGATAAGACTATTTCGTTTAATTAGTTCTGTTGGATCCCCTTAAGCCAACAAAGTTCATCTCTTAGAAAGTTTGCAGGTTTGAGTACCACCCTAATTCCAAACTCGTTGAGAATTCCACAGAAAGTTTATCATCCTCCTTTCCTACACGGTAACACAATGGAGGCTGTGAACTCCTTTGTACTCGTGTTGTTCTTATTATTCATACTCTCATTTCTGTTATTATTTCGTTTCTTATGTGTTCGGACGAATTTATTATTCAACGATAGAGAAGAATTATTAATTACTGACGCTTCTGTTATTTGCTTCATTTCCTTGTTTAGGTCCTTACACTGACTAATGAGTTTTCTGGTTTTGTTATTTAGACATTTGACTAGACCCACCCACCTTAAGTGACATTGGATGGTATGACGTGAAGTCTAGTCTAGATACTTGGTAGACAGTAGCATGTAAACGACCGTTTTACTCTGCATTCCAACATAGATAATTCTCCTCGTTCATTTTCTACCTTGTAAGTGAATTGTATTGGGTCCACTGCTGAGTTCATATGTATTGTGGAAGCTGTTGTTATATTCTGATTTCAACACAGTCAATCTGTCATTCATATATCGCAAGCATATCTTAGGTGCAAGATTAAATGTTCGTAAAGCCATATCTTCCGGACTATCAATATTCATACATTAAAATACATTCTTATAATTATACATAAATATATCTGCTACGATTGGTGATATTGGTGGTCCCATCGTTACTGCTTCTGCTTGTGAATATATTTTTTCCTGGAACTTGAAGATTGTAGAGATCATCCTCAACTGTATGTCTAATATCATCTCATGAACCTATATCTTAGTTCTGTGAGTATGCTTTTAGTCAGTATTTAGTTGATTTATTACTGACTCCATTGCCATATTGATTAGCATTTTAGTATATAAACTTGGTACATCGACATTACCAAAATGCTAAACAAGTTGTTTGATCAAAAAAATATGATTTTTTGACCTTATATTTGGTGGCAAGATACGTGGAAAAATGGTATTTCTAACAGTTAACAAATAAAACTTATTGAATAGATTTTCCTTGTATCATTTTTCGAAGCGGTTACGATAATCTTATAGATTCATAGTAATCTTTTCAGTTAAATGATCATTTGACACACTAATATAGCCTTAGGGTGATGTATTCAGTTCCAAGAGCAATCATATATATATATATATATATATATATATATATATATATATATACCATGTGTCCGAAAGTTGTAGATTGAATTGCATTTTAAGCTGTTTTGACCTTAAAGCAAAACGTGTTTCCTATAGATTTATACACAAAATAGAAATGTCAAGAGAGAGAGGGTAAAAATCAATATTTTTCTTTTTTATTTATTTATCTATCTTATTCTATTTATACCTAGACTGTGTTCATGTTGAACTTGATTTTTATTTCCCGCTATCTTTTCTCACCTCCGCAATATCTAAAACTACCTAAATTGATAAATTATTCAGGATAATTCATGAACAATTCAAAAATGATTGATGACTGTCTATACTGATAAATGAATAGAGGATTAAATTGAAACTATACTGTAGTTCTTATCATTAAGTTGAGCTAAACATCTTCAGTTGGCTTTATTGCATGGATGTCACCGTAATATATTACACCGTTCATCTGAATGATTAGTTTTTTACTCGCTTTGATTGTGTCTACTTTTCAGTAACTTTCAATCAATTGGTTAAAATTTTTTGATTCCACAGCATTCACTAAGGTATCATTAGACCAATTAGTATGTTTTTAATCCATAAAATATGAAAACAATACATGACTGTAAATTTGCGCTGAAATTATTTGCTGCCTAAATGCTTTCGATATAGACTTGTGAATGAATATGAAATGACTACTGGGGTTTTTTATGCAATGAGAATCAGTGGTCTCCAGATTAACAAGTCCATGATCTGCCAAGTTGGTTCATAAGATGCCCATCATTGATCTTATTATGTCGATCTACGGTTATCTCAGATAGTCTCATCAGTAATCAAATTGTTTTATTAGTTTTAACCAGCATTTTTTACAGACACGTTAAACTGTTCATTGAAATCGATTTTATGACAATGAAATCGTTCGTAAAGCAATAGTTTATAAGGTTTTCATTTTGCAGAATATAAAAACATGATATGAACTATCTTAGATTTGTTCTCGTAGCAAGCTAAAATGCTCAGAACACAAATTATTAATTCTTTGTCATTACGAATGATGCCAAGATGTCAATGAAAAGTAAGCTATTAGCATACGTCATATTGTTTTTCTGCTCCATTTTTGTGTAAAACAGATCATAATTCATAGTTTTCAAAGTAAGCCATCATAATATCTTACAAATGGATCAAACATACATGTGCTATTCCTAGAACGAATTGGAAATCTTATGGTCACTTCTTCAACGTCTAGTTATTCTCGATTCTTTGAAAGAGCCGACCAGTTTCAGAGAATTTGAGCAATATTTCCCTTTCTACTGGATTACTAGAGTATACTGTTGATAAATTCAACGCCATATACGCGAAATGGCTTTCTGATACATTGGCCATCTTTACTTACCTAGTGCATAATATCATTTGATGTAATTGGTCTGAAGCTACTTATGTCAATTGGTAGTATATGTTCAAGGGCTTGGAAATCACTCCTTGTGCTTCATAACACACTTCCTCTTCGTTAGAAAGATGTTTGTTTATTGAGATTGAATTGGAGCTGTGGCTCATTGACTTAACTAGTTGACTTTACACCGATGGATCATGGGTTCGAGCACCACTTCACTTATCGAGGTTTTGACAGCGAGATATTATCATAAGACTTCACATAACTGGTGTGATTCATTTCCTACTGCACAAATACATGCAAGATTGCTGAGTATTAAAAAAATGAGGTGAAGGTAGACTATCCTGATACTGAATTACTCATCTCAAAGTTCAGTCTCAGATAGCAACTTCAGTCGTTACAAGGTTTTCTCATAGTTTATTCGGGTCAATATTGTGCTAGGATTGACATTTTTTTTCACCTCTCAAGTTTTAAAAAAGTCTACTAATAATTTCACCTATCTAGAATTTAATGATGATATTTCCCGCACCAACAACTCCAACAACAACAACAAACTCCAGTTACCATGAACGGGAGAAACTTAAAGGAGGTAACCTCCTTCACCTATCTAGGAAGCACTGTTTCAACTACAGGCGGGACAGACGAGGATATTAAAGTCAGAATCGGAAAAGCAAGACAGGCCTTCATTAGCCTGAAACCAGTGTGGAGATATTCTGCACTCAGCATGTGGAACAAGATACGGATTTTCAACACCAACGTCAAGTCAGTGCTTCTGTATGGTTGAGAGACTTGGCGCGTCACGAAAGGGATTTCCAATAAACTACAGACATTCATCAACAACTGCTTACGCTGGCTCGCTACTGAAGATCAGATGGATTGCCAGAAAGAATAAGCAACAAGGTGCTTTGGGAACGAACCAACCAAGAACCTATCACGCAACAAATATGCAGGAAGAAGTGGAGATGGATTGGGCATGCACTGAGATAGCCGACTGGGGACATCACGCGTCAGGCCCTTGAGTGGAATCCCCATGGGAAGCGACGAGTTGGACGTCCGAGGTGAGGGTGACATGGAGGAGGTGGTGCGAGGAGGAAATGCGAGCTTGTGGGCTGTCGTGGAGGCAGGTTCAAAAGATCTCATAGAACAGAGGTCACTGGAGACGTGCTACTGAAGCCCTATGTTCCACTAGGAACCCAAGGGACTGATAATAATAATAATAATAATAATAATAATAATTTTCCATTCAACTATCAATTATAGTTTATGATGGTTGCTATTCAGTTTGCACATCATTCAAGTCATTAAGATGACTTGAGAAAATGTCAACTCATTTATTTAAGGATTACCTTACATTTGAGTTATGCTCACTTATGACTGTTCTATCTTGCTATATTATCAAGTGGATTGTTTTAGATATCTCTTATAGTGTTTTCTGAAGTAGATTCAAAGTGAAAAAAGCTAAAGGGGATCATACCACTTGTCGCACTAGCCCGCAGAATTTCTGACACTTGATCTGCTCCATGCAGAAAATTCAGGTTTCTTGATTTCATTCCTTGGGTTGAAAGGAAACAATGTTTAGGAATTCTCAGGGATTTAGCTCAAAATTGACCACCGTGGATTACTTAATTCCCTCTCGCCTCGTACACACTTTAGACAACATTGGATGTTATCCCTACCTTTCCACTTCTAAACATCCTGGCGTATGATGTAACAGTTTGACTTGATAAGCCAGCATGGCAGCTTGGTTGTTTTCTTATCTCTCATTGTCAGTATACATAATTTACCTTTCTTTATTGGTACTAATCGTTTATAACATGGAAATATCACGCCTAGTAATGCAGTTCTCGCCTAAATAGAACTGGAGCTAGCTTCTTTATTCTAGCGAAAATGTAGTTTGTGTCTACTGTCATTTGTTTGTTAAGGACTGTTTACGATATTTCAGATATACGATTCGTCCTTTTTGAGACTCATCGTCCAACTGGGCGTGCATACGTCTCTGTGACTGATGATGTTCTTGATTAAATCATGAATACACTACCCAGTAATTCAAATGTTAGAGTTTCATACACCATTATTGTTAGGATTGGAGTACAAAAACCTATTAAGTGCATGAAGGGATGAATTATACATCCTGGATTTCAGTGCTAACTATCACCAAGCAAACAATATTCCAATAAAACTTGTTCAACTTGTATAAGATGTCGAATTGCCAACAAATACCGATTACTTCAGATTCCAAATAACTTTTATTCACTTTAAAAGGCACTAATTCAAGAATTGGAAGCAAGTAAATTACAAGTACATGCAGTCGATTTGGATCCAATTTCAGCTTCACGATCACCGAATGCAAATGTTGAACCCGGTTATAAAACTCGCTATAGACGGCATGGGTATACATGTAAGTCTTTTTTTTACTTTATTCTGTATCTTGATTAACATCTCTTACTGAATAATGTTTCTTTGCTCCAACGTTTTTGAGAATGCTAATTGTACAGTCAACTCTATCCCCTCTTGTTTGAATTATTGTGATTTTTCCTTGACAACATCTGTAAAATGTTAAATGATGTTAATTATTCATAAAATGCAATTTGTTTGTTTGATATTATTTTGGGCCATTTGATGTAATAAATCATATTTCACTTTGTAACTATCAGAATTCGTTCCCTTATACCTCTTGCTGTCAAACTGATTTTCAGTGTGAAAGACAGACATTGGTTGCAAGACCAAGTGACTCACAAATTACCTCACTATCAAGATCACTACAATAAAGAGTAATGTCACCCAACCCGATACATGTTCTTACACTAGGTTATAAGATATACTTATTATGTAAGGGTTTAAAGTACTACCCAGCTGCCGAGGTCGAAGTGAGACTCCGACGTCGTGCTTAAAAACCAAGTCTTCACTAGTGAGCTACATCGCCGCACAGAGCTACACACTCTAAATTAATGCAGTTTACTTTGATAATATTAATGATGTACATTGACTATCGCACAAACTCGAAGATCTACAGGCAAAAACCAACAAGTTGACAGAAGAGGCAGGGCAGCGAAGACGGCACTCCAAGTGAATGTAGAGGTGATGAAGATACCCAACCAACAACATCATCAACAAGCACCAATCACCACCAACGAGAGAAACCTAAAGGAAGTAGTCTCTTTCCCCTACCCACCTACCTAGGCAGCATCGTTACAACTACAGGTGGAACAGGCACAGATGAGGACGTCAAAACCAGGAGGGGAAAGAAAACAAGACAAACCTTCATTAACCTAAAACCAGTGTGGAGATCTACTGCACTGCACTTCACTTCACTTCACTCAGCATACAGCGTGAACAACACCCAGATTTTCAACACTAAGTCAGTAAAGCAAGTCAGTGCTTCAGTGAGATGGTTGAGAGACTTGGTGGTGCATTATGAAAAACACTTCCAACAAACCACAGACACATCATCAACAGCTGCCACCTACACTCTCTCGATACTGACACTGAAGATTAGATGGATGGCCAGAATAATAAGAATAAGCAACAAGGAACGCTGGCTGGCTGCTGGCTGCCAACGAACCAACCAAGAACCCATCACCCAACAAATATGCAGCAGAAGAAAATGGAGATGGATTGGATTGGATATACACTGAGAAGACCATTTGGGGATATCACGCGCCAGACCAGGTCAGGCCCTCGAATGGAACTTGTATGGGAAACGACGAGTTGGGCGTCCGAGGCGAGTCTGACATGGTGTAGATCATGTGAGGAAGAAATGGAAGCTTCTGGGGAGTCATAGAAGTAGGATTTGAAGATTGCAGAGAAGAGAGTGAAATGGAGATGTGTTACTGAAGCCGTATGTTCCACTAGGAACCCAAGGGACATATCATAAAATGATAAAAGATTGGCTATCAGTGGGGTTCAAGATACACATTTCATTCCGTTCTGGAGTAATCGGTATTGTGCAGCTAAGGTATGGTTACTTCCATGACATGAGGTCTGGAAACATAACTACTGGATAACCTTGGATGTTCTTATGCATTTTTATTATATCATGCTACTTTAATGCAGAAAGAAAATCTTGACAGAATTTTTTATCGTAGCAGCATACTAAGAGGAAAAAGATGTAAGCTCTTCCTAACTTCTTATCACCATAGTAACAAAAAATTTTGTAGAGAGGCTTATATTAAAATCCTTCTTTCCAAGCAGTTAGTCCTTTTATGAATTTAGATAATGTAATTAGAAGACAAGGTTTATGTGAGCAGTTTGATGTATTTTGGCAACATATTTCGAACAGTCTGCTCAATCACTCATTTACTTGTCAAGTCAATTTATATTGAATCAAAGAGTGGGATGACAAATGCAACAATTAAGATAATAGGGGATTAAAAGTAAGAAAGATGGGAGCAGAAGGGAAGTAACATAGTTGATCCTAATCTTGGTAAGAAAACAAAGTTTACAAATTGGTCTTGGATACACATAGTTGGTTTAAATTTATGTATTGCTATGGCTTCTGCAAATCTCAGTACACGTCTCTGACAGTTTCTACATAAAATTTTGAAAGTTGTTAAGAAATTAGTTTTGTGACCTGTTTCTATGATATGTTTAGCTATAGATGAAGAGGAAACTTAAATGCTGATAGAGTTGTGAGGGTGGTTGAAACTTCCCGGTTGCCCACACTGTGGAAGGCTATTTCTTCTTAAGGTACCTGAAAGAGATTTATGTGACTGCATAGCCCATCGGACATCTGCTTGAGGCCTGTCACACTCAGCATTTTGTGTATACTTCTTTTGAACTTTTGTATTTTCGCGGCCAGATGTTCGACAAGAAACGACAAATGAACCAACATCGCCAACCCGGCAAACTGTAGGGTATGATGGAGTGTGTTATTTTTGGGGCCGACCTTTTCTAACTCCCCCTCTTCCACTGAGAAGGCAGCATCAACATCGCACTGCTAGTCATTCAAGGGAAACACCTTACTGCTGTCACACCCCATCCAGCTAGCAGCAGTACGACTTCGTCCTCAGACCTCCATCATAGTGTAGTAATTTACACCACAACAGTAACTGCTTTTCGTCTAACCACCATGCAACAGACCTTTCTGGTATGGTAGGACGTCGATGGAACAAATGTTCCACCATCATAGCTCGTTGGGTCACTGTGATATGCAAGCCTGACCACCACGTCAATGTAGCAGCTATCAGTCGGAGGTCTCCCTCTCGTCACCTGATTGCACAGAGGTTGACCTAATCGCAGGAGAATTTTCATTAGACCTAAAATATGTAGATGACATAGTCCTGTTAGGTGAAGACGCTGACAAAATGCAGAGTTTTCTGAACACTGGGTAGTCATTTGAGAATGTTTGGGATGCGTTTCTCACCACCCAAATGCAAATTGTTGCTCCAGGATTGGTCTTCAATAGTGCCCCACTGCGACTAACAGTGGGGAGTGTAGTGGTTGATTGTGTCGACGACTTCACTTACATGGGAAGTAGGATAAGCCCTAGTGCATTGATCAGTGGGTGATGAAGTCTCTGCACGAATACAAAAGGCTTGGCTGGCTTTTGCAAATTTACACCACCTATGGCACCACTGTGATATCCGATTGTCCATTAATGGTCGCGTGTACTGCACAGCAGTCCGCTCTGTTCTGCTGTATAGCTATGAAACATGGAGAGTGAAGGTGGAAGACATGAGAAGGCTTCAAGTGTTTGACCACTGTTGCCTTTGTAGTATGGGCCGTATTCCGTGGTGTCACCACGTGAGTAATGCAGAAGTCAGGTGTAGAGTTTTAGTGAGAAGAGGAAGGTCAGTTGATGAGGTTGTGAATGTTCATCGACTGAGATGACTGATTGTGACATGTGTTACGTATGCCTGGTTGCCATCTGCCTCTTCACACAATGTTGTCCGAAGTAGGTCCAGGTTGAAAAAAGGCTCGAGGTGGTTAGACTAAAACATGGTATCAATGTATGAAGTGTTTGACTGTTGGTTTGAGCCATGTGGTGCTATGCATACTGGGTGGTTTGGGTTCGGTGGACAAGAGGGATAAGTGGTTGTAGGCTGTATGTGATGACGTGGCTGAGAAGCGATGTCAGTGGTGCAGATGTATCCACATATTCTCCTTATGTTGACGTTATACCGAATCTCACCATTTTCTCATTCTTCCTTTTCCTCTTTTAGTAGTTTATGTGTCTTTTGAGTGAGTTTTCTTTTCTTCATCTTCGACTTCATTGGCATTTTACTTGATGTGGTGATATGCGGTGTGTCGACTCGGAACGTTATGCAGTAATACCTGGTCCTATGTTGATATTAATGATGATGATAGATGAAGAGTATCATTTCCCACCAGCGTTTATCACGGTTTCATACTCCATTTGTTTTTGAAGCTGTTTAGGTGCATTTTCTCCCATCCTCAACTACATGACTCGATTACTCCTCTCTACTTATGTGTGACCACACACATGTAAATTGGTAAACGCAAATGGAATGTGACGTAGTCATGGATGCAGTGTTTACGTTTTTGGTGAAGCATGTGTTCTGTTTCTTTCACACTAATAAGATTAGCTGCGTAATATGTTTTCTTAATAGGTGATGTTAGTCTACATCTCAAAATAATACTATCCGACTCTCCTCTGTATGGTTGGCTGATATAGAATCTTTTCTTAGGAACTGTGTTTACTGTTGTCTTCACTGCTTCCTGACCTCTACAACGGATTATTAACTTCAACAGATATCCGTTTTCCATCAGTGTTTTGGTTAGTAATTTGATATCTTTGTTAATCGTATCTGACGTAAAGATACAATAAATTCCATTGAACAGACATTTTACTATAGCCTACTTGTATATTGGATTGCACAATAACTGTGAAAATTTAGGTATTGTCCTGTTCATATAGGCTTTCTGTAAACTGACCGTCTTATTGAACCAACTTCTTGTCGACTCAGGAATACTTTAAAGAATAACGAATGATTATTATTCTCTTCTTCACAAGTCAAGCTTATGCAAGTTTGTACAGTGTTAAGTCTTTTTAGTAGACAAGCCATATTCTCATCCCTCTCACAAATCACTATGATATCATTAACATATCTCTTGTAAAGAGATACTTTAGCGATGCAATCACCAGCCAGATTTTCGACATATGACATATAAAGGTCCTATGGGACTACTCACAGCTGCACACCGTCAATTTGTTGGAACCACTCACCTTCAAATGTGAAATGAACTTTGTCGGTGTACATTAATAATAGTTCCGTCAGAAAAGTTGGAGTAATAGGAAATGGGAGGTTTCTAGAAGATATGTAGGCACAAATAATGTTAATAGTCTTGAACAGCTGCGCGTTAGTGTATAAAGAAAATATATCGAAAAAGTACATAGTCTTCTTTTTGATATTTATTTTACTACGACAGTCAAGAAGTTGAAAAGTATCTTTCACTCAAAACTTACAAAATTCGTTTTGAACCGGGTTTAACACTTTCGGTAACCGTTTCACCTGTTTGTGTATATGGGGAAACGACACAGACATTATAGGGCGTGCAGAATTATTAGTGTTATGAACGTTAGGTGATCCATAGAAATTTGGGAATTCAGATTACATAAGTTTCAATGAGTGAAATTCCTCTTTGCTAATAGTATTCATATTCAAAAGTTTTGTTAAATGAGCGG